TAATGCGTTTTTAAAAAAAACGAACATTTAACAATGTTAGACTGCACCCCATAAACACAATCAAGCCTAGAAAAAAACCCATTGAACCACCCCTTTAAAAAAAAAGTACAATTAAGAATATTTTTTATTTCATTAATATTATATCATCTGCAAGTACAGCTCATTAAAAATATACTTTTAAGACTGTATGTAACTGTGCACATTCAATACAATAAAGCGGACATCTTTTTGTCTTTTCAAAACCTTTTCCAACCCTCATTCCTAAATGTCAGTCATGATCAGTAAGGACACCTATTGTAATTTTTTTCCCACAAAGTTATTAACAATACATTTTTATTTTGATATCGTGACTATTAACTAACTACTGTTTACATTATCAAAGTGATGCAAATTTTCAAATGAGGCTTTTCTCTTTTCACTTGACTGTGATACGTTTTTGCCTAAATTTGAATTCATTCACCACAATCTGTACTTATGTTACTGCACAACTGAACTATTTCTTGTTTTTTTAAGCATCATATAAACATTTCGATATAATACATAAGCACATTTTACTGAATCTTGCAGTGTTCATAGAAATCTCAGAATGATTTCTATGCTGTCATACTTGTTTGAGCAAGCAGCAGTAACCAAAAATCAGAGCTTAGAGAATGCAATGCAAAAGCTTTATAATGTTTTCCTGTGCGTGCATTTGTCTTCTTGCTTGTTTTCATGAGAGAGATATTTAATAGGAACAGTGAAGTCAATGTGTTTGTTTTGATGGGGTTTTGTAGGTGGTTGTTGTGGTGAATAATGGTATCCGTGAGTTCTCCACCTACGTGTCTCCTAGACAAGAAGTCTGTGATGGAAACTGGCACAAAATCACAGGTAGAGACCTAAAACCCATACAAGTTTTTTACTGTTAGAACTAGAATAACGTGTAGGAATAATGCAGTGCTAATTGACATAACATTTATTACAGTAGATAAACATTTCTGCCTTATTATGTGTTTGTATAAACCAATCATTAATTACCAATTGTAATTAGGAAAATATAGGAAAAATATTATAGAACACAAATAATTGGTTATTGTCTAGCAGTGCATTTGATTTCTTAGCCAATTAAAATATATACGAAAAAGCAAAGCCTGTCAGTAAGACAAAAGTCAGGAAAAAAAGATGTATTTATTTATGTATGTATTTATTCTGAAAGGATGGCTACACACATGTGTATATACAGTAGGACTCACTTGAATTTGTTATAGATAATTATGACATGATGTTATGGAATCCTGTTAGGTCATTGACTAACTGGGCAGTGAGGCAGCAAAGGCCCTTCATCATGTGCGGTGCTGTCATTAAGCTTTGCTGTGTTTTGCAGTGATCAGAGATGGTAACGTGGTGCAGCTGGATGTGGATTCAGTAAAGCCTGTCAGTTAGACAAAAGTCAGGAAAAAAAGATGTATTTATTTATGTATGTATGTATGTATTCTGAAATGATGGCTACACACATGTGTATATACAGTAGGACTCACTTGAATTTGTTATAGATAATTATGACATGATGTTATGGAATCCTGTTAGGTCATTGACTAACTGGGCAGTGAGGCAGCAAAGGCCCTTCATCATGTGCGGTGCTGTCATTAAGCTTTGCTGTGTTTTGCAGTGATCAGAGATGGTAACGTGGTGCAGCTGGATGTGGATTCAGAGGTGAATCATGTTGTGGGGCCTGTGCGTGAAACAGCACAGAACAGCAGTGCTCCAGTGTTTATTGGAGGAGCCCCAGGTCAGTCATATCTATATCTGTCTGTCTGTTGTCTATGTTATTGTCTGTATTTGTCTGTCTGTCTGGATGACCTTAGAAACAAATTCAGAGTTTTTGCTCAGGCTTTTTCAAGCCAACATAACATTTGTATTGGTGATGATGTACAGTAATTACATTTAGGCATTCTTAAAAATATAATTACAATTTAAAAACATCTAAATACACAATAAGTGCAATGTATCAAATTATGCATTTAAATTTAAATTAATATAAAGTGGATCAATTTTGGCTCATCCAGTCAGACTTTAGAGCTGTAACTATCAAAATAAAAATTGTGGTTCTTTAACTGTAGATCGTTCTTGGCCAGTCCTTGACCGGCCTGTAAATCTGCTTGTATATCTGTCATTATGCTATATTAAAACCAGATATTGGATTCAGTCATTTGCCAGCTTGCCAGCATGCCAGCTTGTTTTCTTTCAGTTAGCACAGGTTTTTGATCATTGAGCTTATGCATCTCAGTATATATATATATACTCAAGTTTTTTAAATAGCTATTTTTACAAGGAAGACTACATGTGTAACATGGCAGGGGGAAATCCCAAAAAAGTACAAAAGTTATCAAAATATTTATGAAAAGTTGTTATACCAAAGTCTTAAAACTAAGAGTTTTAGTTCAATGCAATAACATTAACTAGCATTTTTCTGGGAAAAATCTTCTCTGGTTTAAAGGGGTCATAAACAGGCTTTTCAAAAAATAATAATTTTGTACTGTTCTCTTAGGTCCCCTTATAATGTTATCAAGATGTTTACATAAAAAACATCATAATTTAGAAGTAATAAGCTATTTTCTGTCCTGTTTTTGAAAATTCTGCTTCGAATCGTGCTTGCTTGTAAACGAATCTGCAGTAAAATTAAGTGAATAAAGGGCCGAGTTCTTACTGTCGCTGTCTGGATCTTCATTAAAAATAAAGTACATTCACTCTTTCCTAATGTTGGGATCAGAAGGAAGGCAACGCAAACAGTGTTTTTCCACAACTTGGCACTGAACAGCGTCTTGTTTTCTTCAGAGCCATCTTTGTCATTTGCCTCTCTTGTTATTTACACTACGTGTGTGAATCGGTGGGCGGGGCTAAACAGGTGTTGATCTTCTGCAGAGGCGGTGTTTAGCTACACTATTACATCATAGAGTAGAACATTCATCAAGCTCTCATTTTGGCAGACTGCTTTCAACATAAGCTGTTTCTAGACTAACAAGGAAGTTTCGAGTTCTGAAACTAACAGGATGTAGTACAATGACCTCTTATGTCTCAAAAGATCAAGGGAATTTTGATTTCTCAGTTCATGACCCCTTTAAAATGACTGGAATACAACACGAGGATTGATCTAAGCACAATGCTGTTTCTTTCTTGTCTTTGTGACTGTATGAGTGAGTGTTGTATTTATTCCGTCTCTAAAGTCAATAATTGTAGCTCATAGATCTCAGAGAGAGCTAATTCCAATCTTTTTGATCCGTTCCTCTGCTCCAGCCTCCATGCTGCCTCACAGTCTCCACAGCAAGAGGGGCTACACGGGTTGCATGAGGAACCTGTCGGTGAACGAGTCTCCTGTGAGCTTCAGTAAAGCGGCTTTGGTCAGCGGTGCAGTCGGTGTGGGCGCCTGTCCTGCTGCTTGAGCGACGGCAACAGAAATCACTCTGTGTTATTGCTTGTGTTTCAGTAAAGAATGAAGCACCACTGTCTCTTCAGCATCATTTATAACTACATTATTCTATCACTATGAAATATTTAATTAATTACTAATGTACTGTAATCCAGAGCACTGCAAGCATTGTGTTGATACAAAAAGATCTTAAACTGACGTATATAATTACTAAAAACCTGATACTTTAAACAAATATGTGCAAAATATTAACAAAGCCATACAGTACACATTAATAAAGCTGATGTTTTCTGATATTTGTTTTGCATCTGTATTTCTATGTAAATTCCAACTTCACCTGCAGTATAGGTGAAGAATATTTGAACAAAACTGAAGATAAATATACATTTATATTAATTTTATATGAATATGTTTACATTATTGAAAATATTGAATTAATATAACTGCAATATACTTTTAACTTTACAACTTTTGTAGATCATTCTTATGGAAGTTGTAGTTCCAAGTGCAAATGAACAGTTCCATATTTAATGTCTAATACCTGCAAAAGACAAGTTCAGTACAGCTACCTTTTCTCATGTAACCAATTCTGCAGGTTATCCCAAAAGGCACAAGAATTTTCAAGTGAAAAATGTGTTCTGTATTCTTGGTAGAGGAGTTACAAAGTCTACATAGTGCACTTTTGATATCAATGTAACACTTAGGAACTTATTAGAAGAACGGATGTATATTAGAAGAGATTCTAATATGTTTAACAGTTGGGTAAAAAATGGATAAATATTAGGAACTTGTCTGCTTGAACTATTAGAACATTTCTCACTTATAAACTCAGACATCCCCAGGTATAATGATGGTAAAATGATGGATTGAAACAAAAACTCAACGAAATGAGAAAGATGTATTTGTAACCATTTATATTTAATTATTTTGGTCTTTTTAGACTGGTCTTTGGTCTTGCTAAAATTACCTTCCTGCATTTCTCATAATTGTAATACCTAAGGATTTAATTGTATCCTTAACAGGGATTCCAGATTAATGTTGTCACATTGGTGAATGGACATGATCTTACAATTTGACGAATTTAAGTGAAGTGTGTGCATGTGTCTGCACTTCGATAATCCATGAATATCAAGACAGAAGTGCTGAGTTTAAACCAGATTTAGCCCAGACTCTGTTCTCATCTGGGTAGTAGACCATCCAGACCGGGTATCTTTTGGATTTCAGCATACTATGACCTGAGACACACTAATTCTAATCTTGGATACTGTTTAGTATGGACAGTAAACCTGGCTAAAACCTGATGATTACATTATTTTAAATGAGTCTACCCCCCAAGATTACTGTTATAAACATGGGCCACATCCAAAAGTTAAAGGGGGAGGTGTTGCTTCAATTTATAACAATGTTTTCGGTATTTCTCAGAGGGCGGGCTTCAAGTATAACTCGTTTGAAGTAATGGTGCTTCATATAACATTGTCCAGAGAAACAAGTGTTAACGATAAATCCCCAGTGTCGTTTGTACTGGCTACTGTATTCAGGCCACCAGGGCACCATACAGACTTTATTAAAGAATTTGCTGATTTTCTATCCAAGTTAGTGCTGGCTGCAGATGATGATGATGGTGATTTTAATATCCATGTTGATAATGAAAAAGATGCATTGGGATCAGCATTCATAGACATTCTGAACTCTATTGGGGTTAGACAACGTATTTCGTACAAAAATAACCCCAGGTATTTATTCAATACAGTATACAGACGAAAAATAAAGCATCAACAAGTGATGACATTTCCCAACAGCACAGCAGTAATGACTTTATGAACTACTTTACTTCTAAGATCGATACTATTAGAGATAAAATTGTAACCATGCAGCCGTCAGCTAACCACAACTTGACCCAAAAGAACTAGTTAATTACAGACCGATCTCTCCCTTTTCTGTCCAAGATACTAGAAAATACCGTTTCATAGTACTGAGACTGCTCTCATTAGAGTTACAAATGACCTGCTCTTATCATCTGATTGTGGTTGTATCTCTCTATTAGTGCTATTGGATCTTAGCGCTGCGTTCGACACAATTGACCACAACATTCTCTTGCATAGACTAGAAAACTTTGTTGGCATTAATGGATGTGCATTAGCATGGTTCAAATCGTACTTATATGACCGTCAATTCGTAGCAGTGAATGAAGCGGTATCATATCGATCACAAGTGCAGTATGGAGTACCTCAAGGTTCAGTACTAGGGCCGTTACTTTTCACACTTTACATGTTACCCTTGGGAGATATCATCAGGAAACACGGTGTTAGCTTTCACTGTTATGCTGATGATACTCAGCTCTATATTTCTTCGCAGCCCGGCGAAACATACCAATTTGAAAAACTTGCAGAATGCATAGTCGATAGAAAAAAATGGGTGATGAGTAATTTCTCACTGCTAAATTCTGAAAAAACAGAGGTGCTAATTATAGGACTTAAAAACTCTGTACGTAATAACCTAGAACACTGTCTAATACTTGATGGCTGCTTTGTCAATTCTTCGTCATCAGTTAGGAATCTATGTGTGCTATTTGATAGCAATCTTTCCTTAGAAAGCCACGTTTCTAGCATTTGTAAAACTGCATTTTTCCATCTCAAAAATATATCTAAATTACGACCTATTCTCTCAGTCAAATGCAGAAATGTTAATCCATGCGTTTATGATCTCAAGGTTAGATTATTGTAATGCTTTATTGCATTAATGCATTACTTAATAAACAAACTCCAGCTGGTCCAAAATGCAGCAGCTAGAGTTCTTACTAGAACCAGGAATTTTTTTTTAAGTAGGCTTACAGTAAATTAATGTACAATATCTTTCAGCAGCACATGACTGAACATGACAAAAAAAGGCTACAAACTTTAAAAAGTAAATAAATAAAATCAAGAAGTAGGCCTATTACAAGCTAGCCTAGAACAAGATGACATTCAAATAACAAACAAAGTACTCAGTTAGACACATAAATATAAAAGGGTAAATAAATCAATAAAATCAGCAGCACAAGCTCAAAAAAGGTACAAAATAATAAAGGGGTGTTAACAAGATATTATAATTGAATTAATAAACTTATAAGCATGTGGTTTGATACGCAGGGATTCATTCTCTGAAATTATTTAGTTTATTTATAAGGTTGTGTAAATTTTTTTTAAGTAGGCTTACAGTAAATTAATGTACAATATCTTTCAGCAGCACATGACTGAACATGACAAAAAAAAAGCTACAAACTTTAAAAAGTAAATAAATAAAATCAAGAAGTAGGCCTATTACAAGCTAGCCTAGAACAAGATGACATTCAAATAACAAACAAAGTACTCAGTTAGACACATAAATATAAAAGGGTAAATAAATCAATAAAATCAGCAGCACAAGCTCAAAAAAGGTACAAAATAATAAAGGGGTGTTAACAAGATATTATAATTGAATTAATAAACTTATACTTATCAGTTAAATACAACAAAATACCAGCTTTTTATTCTTATTTTAATAATTCTTGAAGAGTCAAAACAGGTGGAGACGTGAAAATCTACATTTGTGGATAAAATGCTTTGATAGGGCTGAGTCCGATTCTGATTCCTGGTTCTGGATTTTCGATTCTTTTTCGATTCTTGTTTTTTTTAGATTGAAGGAATCTATAATCTCACCATGACTGCAGGATAAAGGTCGTAGAAAGTATCCTTCTCATAATATGAAGCTTTATTTGAAAAAAAAAGACGATACATAAATTGTACATTTGTCTGCTTTGCCCGTGAAATTAGTCATAGCCCACAGCTCAGCAGAGGGACATGCGTTTATCGCATGAATTAACATGACATGAAGTGTCTAAAATAAATGTGCACAGTTCAGCTGAATGATGAAGTTTACTTTGACTGTATGCTTTGCACAAAATTAACAAGCTGTACACTGAAACAAAATAACCAGAACATTAACAATAACTAATAGAGCTCGTGGTTTATCTGTCAATCAGATGCGCTCTCAGCCACTGATCTATGCTCGGGACGTTTTCTTTTAAAATGATCATTGGCTGATAGAAATGTAAAAAAAAAAGAAAAAAAAAGTATTTTAGATGGAAATAAGATCAAGACCCTTGATGATCTATTCTGTCGTGCAGCGCTCAAAATTGTGGACAAGCCAGGTCCACCGTAAAATAACCTCTGAATCGTTTTTTTAACTGGTTCTTATGACTTCTACTCACTTTTAGCGAGCACGAGGGAGGCGAATGGTAATAAAAATATAAA